CGGCGGAGCGCGGAGCTGGCGGAGCGGCGGGTGAGTCACCGAGCGCGCCTCGCGCAGAGAGCAGGCGAAGGGGCCGGGAGCAAAGGCTTGTGGGTCACTCTGGTGCCCCAGATACCTCCCTTTGGGAGAAAGCTCCACCTCCAAAATGGGATGCTCCGGGAGACCCAGTTGGTCTGGGATGGAGCAGGCACCAGCATCCCCGTCCCATAAGCGAGCACTTTGGGCAGTTGCGCGTTTGTCCTCCTCCCCGCTGGGAGCTGCTGTCCCCTGCCCAAGGAGCCTTGGGCAGAGGGGGGTTGCTCGGGCCCACGCAGCACGCGGGTCGAGCCCCGATCTCCCGAATGCCAAACTGACGCCCTGAGAAGCAGAGGAGCCAGGGGAGCAGTGGTCTTCCTAGCCAGGCTGGTCGGCACCGCACGAAAAGCCCAATTTTGAGGGCATCTGGGCAAAGCTGCTTTCTTCGCTGAGCCTCAGTTTCCCAGTTTATGGAATGGAAACAATGGCCTGCTGCCTTTTCTGTTTCAAACCAAGGCTGAGTGAGCTTGTTTATTTATTTTTACTCCGAAGGTGACACACCAGGATGCCGCGTGAATGTAAAGCATTTCCTGACTGCAAGCGGCTAATGGCTGTGGCATGGAAACCCCAGAGATAACTTATAAAGAGCATAAAGCCCTCCCGGTTCCTCGGTGCTAGTCACACAATCAATGCTGTTTGTAACGCTTAAAAATTTATTGTGATGCTAACCTGGTCTAGTACCTTGTAAAAGCCCGTGCTCTGGGGGGCGAATGCAAGGCTCGGGGTTGGTTTCCCCATTGGCTCAGTGATGACCGCAGACAACACGTAGCTGCTCTTTGAGCTCTCCGTTTCGGACGCATCACCCTGCAGGTGTTCAGGAGGGTCTGTGCCGACCAGGCAGTCGCCCTGGGCTGTACTGTGCTCTCAGAGGGATAAAACTTTGATGAGCCCTGTGGGTGAAGTCTTGCTCCTCCCTGTAGGATTTGTTCAGAGCAGGGGTGGGAAGGTGAAGGAGAAGGTGCTGAGCCCCTCGCGCGGCCGTGCCAGCCCACGGCGTGGGTGCCCCGTGCATCCTCCCCGAACGGCGGATGGGCAGCCTCCTGTTACGCGCTGGAGGGGACGGGCTTGCACACCGGAGGGGACGGCGTTAGCCCTGGCCGCGCCGCCGGCTGGTGGCCGCCCCG